GGTCTCAACATTATTAAGGGCCATCGTAGTCTCCAATACCCTCATCACAACAACAGTATCTTCCCTCAACATCTTTCTACGGGAAACTTGTTCCATACCCAGGATAGCCTTCGACTCTGCCTCATGCATAGCCACAAAGTTATCCTCGCCAAAGATTTCTTGGTGTAGGTAGTAAGGAGGGATCATAAAGGTCTCCCCGACCTCCGTCTCGATGAGATCAACATGTTGGACTCCATCTATGTGCGGCTGTTTTGAACAATGATCCGGGGGACAGTTTCCCCTGGGGTGAGGAAGTCAAACCGACCTGAAATCCGCTAGTCCTCGCCTTCCCTGAAGTTGCGCTACACGGATTTTTTGTAGCTTCTTAGCACCTCGGTTGGCCACTATCCTGACCATGCATTTGCAAAAATCTTCCTGTTGTACCCCGAAATTTTCCCTCCCTTTTTCACAAGAAATCACAACTTCAGGGTTTTCCCTGATCTTTCAAGATTGGCCCAAGAATCGGTCAAGCAGGCTTTTCTTTGACAGTAAATCCAGAATTAGGGTTTCCACTAATTTTTGTTGAGATTGGCTCAGGAATTGATCAAGCAGACGTTTCTTTGACAGTAATCCAGGATTAGGGTTTGCGCAAACATTTCTCAGAAGAAATTGAATCCATAATAATTCAATTGTCTGTTACATTATTTTTACGCTTGTTCCAGATTACCGGATATTTCTCAAAATCTAAATATCTGGGATAGGAACTGAGGCTTTTGATTGAAACTTTGAAGCATTGGTTTGATCAGTGAAGTGAAAAGTGTATGGAATGCTTGTTTGTTTAACTGAACAAAGTGTATGATTAATTGGAATGTCGGGCGTATTGTGGTTAATGCAAGGTTGCGAGACAGCAAAGTTTGTTGATTATTTATTTTATCTGAGTTAAAGTTATGGGGATGCATTTCCAGTTGTTTTAACTTAGAGATTTAAATAAATAAATAAACAGTGCAGAAGAAATAAGGAAATATCTGACAAAGACTTTTTATTTATTTCAAATGTTGTTACAAATGTTATTCGAATATTGTAAATTTATTTACAGTGTTTACAATAATATTTATTACAATAAATGAAAAGAAAATAAATCTAAAGTCTAAGTCTCTTGAAATCTTCTATCTTCTACTGCTTCTTCCATTATCCAACTGGTATTTACCTGCAAAGACAGAAAAAGAAATCAGTGCAGTTAAATTGAAAAGCATTTTCAAGCAGATAAATACAAAGTCATCATTAAAGCTTGTTGGCCGGAATCAAATTGTTTTTTGGTTTCATCATGTTTTACTCGTCCTCTTTGCAAATCACAAGAAGATTTCTCTTCTTGGTTCACAAAGAGGAAAGTAAAATAATTAGCATACAATCAATTAAATGCAAAGATACAAGGCACAAGGCTGCACACAAAGAAGGCACAAGGCTGCACACAATGTCAAACTGAACTGCCAAACTAAGTTTCAAAAAGCAAACTAAGTACACAAAGCTGTCCAAGCCAAGTACACAATCTATCAAAAAGAACAATGCAGGAAATTTGGAAGAAAGTACAAAATGCAAGAGAAGAACCAAGATACAAGCAAGCAGGCTTGTCAAAACATCTCATCATGTTCTGGCCAACAAAACTTTTCAGAATAAAGATATAATAAGCAATTTAAAAGTGCTTTTGTGGAGAGAGAAAGAGAGAGTGATGTAGGTTTTGCAGTTTGGCAGGCTGTACAAAAGCAATGAGAAAGAAAATAAATAGAACAATTTTTTTAACAGTTCAGGAGGAGAGAGCCACAAACTGCAACTGAGAGCCACAAACTGTAACTGAAAGCAAACCAGAAGCAAAAACTGCCTCAGAACCATACAAACTTGCACAACAAAAACACAACCTGCAAGTTATCAAACGGCTTGTAAACACAATCATAACAACCAGGCCTCACAAACCATTCAAACAGGCCTCACAAAAAATAGCAAACCTGCAAAGGCAAGACAGCCTGCCTTACCAAAACACCAAACCTGTGGCCTGCATAACTGCAAGTTATCAAACTTGCAAAACTGCCTAAAATTAAACCTGCTTTCAAACCTGCAAAAACTCAAACCACTCTAACCTGCAAAAACTGCAAGTGACCAAGCCTGCAAGTTATCAAACTGCTTGTAAACACAAGCATAACAAGACAGCCTGCTTTCAAAACCATTCAAACAAGCTTAACAAAAGTCTCAAACTTGCCTTCCAAATCCAGAAGTAAGACAACCTGCCTTACCAAAAGATCAAAAACACTATAGACAAACAAACTGCATAAGCTTGCTTCCAACAAACAAACTGCATAAGCTTGCTTCCAACAAACAAAACACTAAAACCATCAAAAAAACCACAAATCACATGAGCCTGTCAAGCAAGCACAACAAGCCTGCCTAAAGTTCATCAAACTGCCAAATCACAAACTTACAGCCTGCATATCAAACTCTAATCCAAGCTAACAACAAGCCCTTTTCGGAATACACATGTTTATCACAGAATAAACAAGGTATTCAAAGAAGAAGAAAGATGCAGAAGCGATAAACGAATCAGAAACAAATAAGCAAGTCTCAGAACATGCATTCCTCACCAACAAGTTTCAACATCAACATGAAGAGAACAACAAACAATCTTCAGAATAAAATTCATCATCAGAATCAACAAAGCCCACAAAGAGGAAAAAGTCAGAAGTGAAGAGAACAACAAACAATCTTCAGAATAAAACTCATCATCAGAATCAACAAAGCCCACAAAGAGGAAAAAGTCAGAAGTGGAGAGAACAACAAACAATCTTCAGAATAAAATTCATCATCAGAATCCTCAAGCCAACAAAGAAAAACATATCAAAAGCAATGTTTCAGACTTGATCATCACTAACATAGCAAAAGAGAAGAAGAAGAGAAGATTCAGAAGAAGATTGATATAGAGTTTTCAGAGTATACATCATCATCAAACGATTCAAAGAGAAAGATACAGAGATACCGGAAAGGTGAGCTAGCATCATCATCACGCTCCTCCTCTTCCAGCCACCGAGAGCACCGCCATTCCGACCCTCCGTCCATTCCCCAGAGACGAAGCCACAAAGGTATCAGTTTCCCTCTTTCTTTTTCTACATCACCATATCATAAACATCAAAGGTTAAAGCTTTGTAAAATGATAACATGCAAGAGTAAAACCTAAACCCCAAAAACGCGTCAAGAACAAAAAATAATACCTTTTTAAATCACCGCCTTGTATAATCACGGAGAGGAGAGGGTGGAGGTATCGCTCTGGCGACTAGAAGCTTGGAGAGAGGAATCAAAAGCCCATTGGTTTGAGAGAGACGAAGAGGACGAAGACGAGAGGAGAGGAGCGCCGCTGTGCAAACGGTAAAACCTTAATTCCCAATTATGAAACAACCCTAACAATTTGTTCACACCCATCAGATGGGCCTCTGCCCAAGCCAAACGCCCTAAAGCCCAACACATTCCAGCGCCCACCCCCCTTTTTTCTTCATTTTCTGATTTCTTAAAGTGGCTCTTCTTCTTATTTCCCTTGGGCCAAAGCATACAAACTCAAAAGCCCATTTATCTTTTCTCTTTTAAATGTTTTAAAACTAATATTTTTTATCACCATATTTTCATTTTCTATAACCTAATTCTTTTTGTTAAATAAAAATAATATATTAAATTTTTGTATGAAATATTCTTAATAGCTTTTTTTTTAATATTTATTGCATTTAAAAGTATGTAAATAATAGATTTTTTAATAATTTTTCTTTGTTTTAAAACTCTTTGTTTAATTAATCTTTTTTATATAAGTTTCTAAAAAACATTAACCAAAATACAAAAATAATAATAAATACTTAATTTTCATTAGGTTAATATTTTATTTGATCATTTGTAAATAACCACATACATCCCACAATACTTTTGATTCTCTTTGATTCTTATACCTTGTTATATTTTTACATTAAGAATGCGACGATTCGATTTGGTTGTAACATATACTTGGACATTACTATTCTGATAAGACTTATCCCCATTTGTAAACATTTGTACCCCCATCCCCGAATACTTACTTGTAATAACTTAGACTTTAAATTCCCGCAATTTATCACTTTCCATATACTGTATAGTAATTAGGGTTTGTATGCGAAGATTTAAAATCAATCGCTAGATGACCTAATACAAGATAAATGCATGAAAATCAATACACCATTCACACTTGCACCTCTAGGGTAACCTCGCTTGTTTCCTCGGAAAATGCAATCATGTCCCTCGAGTATGAGACACTCTAGCCAATGCCCCTTCGATAAACAAAGATCGTAGTCCCTCGATGACCCTCGATGTTGCCTTCGATAAACCGATCTCTTCCCTTACAAAATTGCTAGAGCGTCTCACAAGTTGCCTTCAATGATTGTATACGATGACCCGCGCCTGTCCCGTTAAACATCCTAACGCAAGGTTGTTCATCAAATATAATGGTGAAACAACACTGTTAAAAGGGTTAAAAACATAAGAAAGATCTTTGAGTAAAATAGGGTAGACAACTCTTAGTTACTTGATCCAAAAATCTTGCAAAACATCCTTGCCATTTTCAAACACACCTCACCACACAATTTCAAAACAACTTTCAAAATATTGAATTATCTTTTCAAAAAGACACACACTTTTGTATATATTCAAACAAGAATCATTATAAAGGTTGCATAGACAAGGCATCTTTTTCAAAACATTTTCAAAACCACACACACAAAGCACCATTTCAAACAAGTGAAAAGCAAAGGCAAGTGATCTAAAACAAGTAACTAAGAGCCCATGGATAACCATGGATGAAAAGGGTGCTAGCACCTTCCCTTTTCATAATCTACCCCCCGAACCCGAGAAAACATCTCAAAGGTCTTTCCTGTGCTTTTTGGCCTTTCCTTAGGATAAAATAAAAATTCGGTAGCGACTCTTGCTAAACCGAACAAGTGCGAAAACAAACGCAAAATCTCAAGTCAGTTCTCCCATCGTATCAGACTTCCATTTGACCTGCAACCAAATAAAAGAAACATGATCAACATATCGAGAAAAACGTCAGGGTGCGCCGAGCAAAAATATGCTCACTACCTAAAAGCTCTAAAGCTTCTTCATCACACGCGAGGAGCATTTTCATATGAATCATCCAATGAGCAAGAACCAGTTGCCCATCTGCTCTCAGAATCAGAGTCCAATCCTTAGTCACGCATTAAGCAGGATCGAAACTCTTGACATAAGCCACGAGCTTCCGATAGGCGAGCTGGTCTTTGTCACCCAACTCCTCCGGTTTCAAGGCATATGCATCCCAATCTTTTGGAAATGGCTCTGTTGCCACTCGAGAGGGAACTTCGCCTGCAGCCTCGTGACTTCCTGCCATTCTCAATCTCTTCCACGCGATCGTATAGAGTGTCCTCGGCCGCCTCCGTGAGAGATTTCACGATGTAATACCTATCCTTGAAAGATCGAACAAAATCAAGATACATCCTGAACAACTTCTTTGATTGTTTGAACGACACCCAGCTATGGTGACCATTGGAAGACTGCCTCTAGAGATGGAAATCACAAAAAACAAGGGAATAGTGGCCTCAATCTCGAGGTACTTGCATGTGTTATAACTGGTTTTCAATTTGAGAGTCGTCACTCTTAATTTTTATCCTAAGGAAGGGAATATAAAGGATAATCCTAAAGTTAGAGATTCTAGATTTTTTGGACTCGGTACTAGACGAAGGGAGGGTGTTAAGAACCCCGCATCTATCTTGTTCACAAGGATACTAGGGTTAGAAGCGCGATCTTAGGAAATAGGGTTTTAATTTTTATTAGGGGAACTCACCATGATTTTAGTTGTATGCCTATGTATCCTCTTATGAGGAATCAGAGTCAAAATTCGTAGTTTGTATGGGTTTGTATTTTTTATGGATTACGCGGATATTTTAATTCCCCTTGTACTTAGTCTAGGTGTGTGAATAACGGTGATTTTGGACCAAGCGCACGGTTAATTAAAATATATTCATAACCCTTTTTTGAAGAATTAATTATCATTTAATTTGATTAGGAAAATGATTTTACCGTTGGTTGTTTTGAGACATAGAGCGGGGGAAGTCTGATAAAGTATTTCTCCTCATGTGGCCAAATATTGGCCACATGTTGCTCGTCATGAAGTACGTGGAGGGAGTCTGATGAAGTCTCTCTTATCATGTGGTCAGATATTGGCCACGTGTTACTCGCGGATGGTGAATTTGATGAATTGCGTAGATTTTAATTGTTTGATTTTGAATAATAAATCGGTAAACGATGTGTAGACCGATTTAATTACTCAAATATGGATATCCTATTATTATAAAATATTTGAATTAATTATTTTAAAAAGTTTTATTTATGTTATGTATACACTAATTAATCGTAGATTTAAAGGTATTTACAAATTAACAAGTCTAATTAACCTATTTAAAAAACCTAATAAACTATGTTTTTTCATATTTTAAATGAAACAAAATTAACTATTCTTCATAATTAATTAATTAACTAAAATTATTACCTAAACTAATAGTAATCAAATAAAACAAAAAAATTAAGGGGTGTTAAGTTACCCAAAGCCCAATTCTAACTAGAAAATAAATTTTTTTTAATAACAATGTAAACATTGAAAACCTGAGTCACATTTTGTTTTCTGTCTCATACATATTCTCTTCCATTTTTATCCGACGAGGCAAACGATTTTGACACTGTGGTTATATAAAAACACCTCTTCATAACCATAATGAAATGAGAGCATGGGATAGAGTTACCTGTGGCGAGATCTGAAACAGAGGGAAGCGTTATCAACGGTGTGGCTGGAATTACAGCGTCGATCTCGTCGGTTTCCGATTGATCTGTTGACAGAGGCACGATGGTGAGTTGTTGACGAAGGGTCGGTTGAGGTGTGCGACAGTGCAGTTGTGTGCGTCGGATCTGAAAGAATTGTAGCGACTTCGATAGGAGAGGAGACATATGGGGTTGATTTCGACTTTGTTTCCAATCTTTCTTCTTCTTTTTCAATCTGCAAAAACACAAGCATAATACATAATTATATTCAGTTGTCGTCTGTGAATGAGTTTGAATAGTTTTGTATATGGATTGCTAATGTTTTTTGAATTGATTTGATAAACAATAATCACATGTTATATAAAGGAAGATTGTTAGTAGTGGTATTGTGGCTATTTTGGACTCGTGAGAATGATGTTTATTTTGGATTAAATGGAGGTTTAAATTGGTGTAGTTTGTTTGAAAAATAACATTACTCGTTTAAGACTAAATAAGACTAGGAAGGGAATTGATCATGATCGTATGGTGTTGATGAGTAATAGAATTTGAAGAAAAAAGTTGTTGTAAGTTGTTTAAAGAAACTATCAAGCAGAATAAGAGTAAGTGATATCTTGTATGTTAGTGTTTGTTAGTGTTTGTACATCGTGAAAGTTTATAATCATAATGGTGAAGAGTGAAACATGAATATGGTTGTTATTATTAAGTATTTACAGGTTTTGTGACAAAAATTGAATATATGGTGATGGTTTTGAAATTTTTAGAAAAAGGAAACCAGTGAGAATCAGTTATATATTAGTGGTGCAAACTGTAAAAATACTAACAATTAGTAACAAATTGTTAAATGAGAAATGTATTTTTTATAAGTAATTGGATATTTTATTTGTTAAGAACAATAGTTTGAGAAAAACATATGGACAAGGTTTTGACGGGAATTTAAGAGAGTGTCTTTGTGTTAGTGTAATGTTTATATATACTGATTTAAAAATTGTTACTAACAAGAAATAAAAACCAAAAATATAATACGGTTAAAACAACAAAGGAGTTAAAATTGAACAAGCAAAGATAAAATTAAAAAATAACAAAGTGGCCTCATATTTTAATCATTGGCCAAGAATAGTTGTTGTCTGATATAGACAACAACCCTGGAATAAACAAAAGAAAAAGAAAAAGAATTGTAAGAGGTTGGAAAGATAGCAAGTTTGGTGTTGTGGATCTTGGCGATGAATTTGTAGATGAATTGTGTGTATGTTGTGGATGAAAATGTGAATAAATTTTCTGGATAAATAAGATTCATATTTATAGACTTGAATTAGGTTAGAAAAAATTTAGTGACTAAGTTATCTAAAATGTATGAAAATCCCAAGCCCGATTTCCAAAAAAGAAAATTAGTAACAAAAGGAAATAGAAAAAATGCACCATAAGAGATTCGAATCCACGACCTCATATTTGCAAGCTTAATTCCTTACCAATTGTTCTATGCTACCTATTTGTAAATAAACCAATTGAAAGTATATGAAAGGTTAAGAAAATATTTCTTTATTCAAAAATACAAATGATCTGAAATAAATCATTATATTTTTTAAATAGGTTTGGAAGCGAATATCTATAAAAATTAAATAATGTTATAAAAACAATGTTTAAAATATTTTTGACTGTAGAAATAAAGGGAAGGAAAATCTAGGGTATGATAGTTGCCCCTATTTAATCACTCTTCGATTGAATGGTGCGAGAATGTGCAGGTCTCGCATGTTTGAATCAGAGGGTTATTAAATAATGGAAGACCCCAAAGTTTGACCAGAGATTTATCAAACAAGGATACAATGATATAGCATACCCCAGAGCTCAAATAAATAGGAAAGGATGGTGATGTATCATCCTACCAGAGTTTGAATAAAGAGATATGATTGAAGAGTAAGCTTGACCTAGATATGAAGACGCATATAACTCACCAATACCTAGAAAAGAGATCATAGTTTTCTTGCGTATTTACCATGACCTAGGAGGTAAACAATACAAGTTGAAAGATTATAAGGATACGATGTACAGAATTCCCATGGGTATGAAGAGTTGGCATAGATGATGATATATCATCTTACCGGCATATGAACCAAAGTTTCGTTTTAACTTAGATACGATGATGCAGATAACTCATCAATATCTAAGAGATTGTAGATTCTTTTGCATACTTACGAGAAATACAAGTTTTAAAAAAGTTGACTTACTAATGCTTGGAGACTAATATAGTAAATTTTGATTTGATTTGATTTTGTCTATTAATTGAAACCTAGGGGATGAATAAATTAGAGTCTGATAACACATTGCTACCTAGAGACTGATGCAACGAATTACGCAGAATTATTTGCATATCTATCACAACTTAGGGGATAGACATTTGAAAAACTTCCTAACAACATTGTTGCATGGAGACTAACACAATGAGTTATATTGCCGACTTTGTCATGTTCACTACAACCTAGGGAGAAAACAATCGGAGGATGAATTCGCGTATTCATTGTAACCTAGGGAATGAATAATATGAACCGACAATTCACACATCTACCACAACCTAGGGGTAGATGATTGGAAAAGCTTGATAACAAAATTTTTGCATGGAGACTCACGCAATGAGTTATATTGCAGATTTCCCACATTGTTGCATGGAGACTGACACAATGGGTTATATCACAGAGGAGGAACCTATGTATTTATCACAACCTAGGGGATAAATAAAACACAGTTTGAAATATATTATTGCATGGAGACTGATGCAATGGATTATGCAGATTTATTCACATATCTATCGCAACCTAGGGGATAGATAATTTAAAAAACTTGATAACTACATCACTGCATGGAGAATGAGGCAATGAGTTATATCGCAAATTTCACACATTACTGCATGGAGACTGGCGCAATGAGTTATATTGCAGAGGAGGAAATACATTGTTGCATGGAGACTAACGCAATGAGTTATATTGCAGATTTCGCACATTGCTGCATGGAGCCTAACACAATGAGCTATATCATAGAGGAGTAAACACATCACTACATGGATACTGACACAATGAGTTATATCATAAATTTGACACATTGTTGCGTAGAGCCTGACGCAATGAGCTATATTGCAAAGGAGGAAACACATTGTTGAATAGAGACTGACGCAATGAGTTATATCGCGGATTTCGCACATTGCTGCATAAAGCCTGACACAATGAGCTATATTATAGAGGAGGAAACACATTGTTTCATGGAGACTGGAGCAGTGAGTTATATTATAGATTTCACACATTGCTGCATGGAGACTGGCGTAATTAGTTATATTGTAGATTTTGCACATTGCTCCATGGAGCCTGGCGTAATGAGCTATATCGCAGATGAGGAAACACATAGCTGCATGGAGACCGATACAATGAGTTATATCGCAGATTTGGCACATTGTTGCATGGATCCTGACGCAGTGAACTATATCACAGAGGAGGAAACACATTGCTGAATGGACACTGGCGCAATGAGTTATATCGCATATTTTACACATTGCTGCATGGAGTCTGGCGCAATGAGTTATATCGTAGAGGAGGAAACACATTGTTGCATGGAGACTGATGCTATCAGTTATATTGCGAATTTCACACATTGTTGTATGGAGACTGATGCAATGAGTTATATCGTAGAAAAATCTATTTTTAATGATTAAATCTTAGATGACTAAATCAGAGATGAGATCGGATTTTTACCGGTTGTGTTTGTTCTTAACCAAGGTAAGTGTTTGGCATAAAAATGCTAGGTTTTAAGATTGAAACCGAAGTTTAACTGATGATGTCGGTTGTGTCTATTCTCAACCAAGGCTATCAACATGAAGAAATGAACCCCAAATTCACTAATAAAATCGGTTTGTGTTTGTTCTCAATCGAGGCTTGATTAACATGATAACTAAATGGAATTGAATGTTTTGAGAGGTTTGAACTTGAAAAGTTTGAATTTGATAATTGCAAGTGTAATGCCCGGAGGCTGGTGATGACTAGGCCTTGGATATGAATCGTAGGTAAGCTGCCTAGTGAAATTTTGATGGTGGTACCTTTGATGGTTGTATCCGTTCTCAACCGGGGTAGCTATTGCAAGACGAATGGATAATGTTGAGCTTGGATTTGAATTTGAGTTCGTCTTTAGCTGGTAGTCATGCCTTGAGATTTTTCGTAGTTTTCATGGGTATATATGATTGAATATAATGTATGTATGTGGTACCCTAAAAATTTTCCTCTCATTTCTCAAGAATTTTCTCACAAGATCTTCCATGACTCAAGTTTGCAGCACTGATACATCAATTTAGGTTTGGAATTGGCACAAGGGCAAAATGGTCAAAATACATACTGAAAACTCAAAATTTGACTTTTGGATCAAAATCAAGTTTCAAGAATCACATTTCATCAAGACATGTTAGAATATGAAGTTGGTTCATCAAGAAAATCAAAATTCAAAATTACTCTAGAAAAGTCAAAGTTCTAAACACTTAGAAATTTTTCTAAGTGTTAAGAAAATATGATAAGTTCAGAACTTTTGGCCAGATTTTCATCATGATGCAAGATGATTTAGGAAGAACTTCTGACATAGAAGTTGTAGATCTCAATGAGATCTAAAACATTGCAAAACAGAACTCCTCCTAGAAATGTTGGGTTTTCAAGTTATAAATCCTTGAAGACACGTCCATGAAACTAAAACACTTAGTAAATTCTGAGCATTTCCAAGTCAGAATTTGATTAGAACTTTTGGGCCAGTTTTCACGTAGGAACCATCAGAGTTTGCAAAAATGATTCAAAGAGGGGTTACGAAGCATGTTACAAGCTTTCTGAAAAGTCTGAGAATTCCTTCAGACCATGCTGGAATAGGGAGCATCAAAGATCAGAAGTTGGACATGTGTTCTTAATCTAAGTTACGTTTATACTGAACTTTTGATCCAGTTTCAAGCTATGATGCATAATCTCATGTTACAGGCCTTCTTCCTTGTTAAATCTCATCATAATTTAATGCTTACATCAACTTTTGAGTCCTTATCCCAGTGTCTAAGCCTTTATCTAAAGGATCTTCCCACGTGTGGCATAAAAGTACCATTGTTGTTCTTGAAAAGCAAACTTTTATACAAAATTTATTTTGAGCCTATACTTTACTCTATTTCTGAGTGTATTTCCCTACAAATCATGCCTATAAACTCAAATTAGGCGTTTTTAAAGCTGCTAACCACCCTACCTTGCCTTGAAA